GAGGAATTAGTATCGAAATATGAGAAATAAAATTTTCCTTGACTTCATGAATTTGATTAGTTCTAGTGCCGAACACTACAGATTGTTGCTAAATCGACTGCTTTAGTAAGTTTCGAAGATGATGAAATGAGCAAGAGAAGAAAAAAGCGAAGAAATGACGACATCGATGAAGATGATGAGCTTGCAATCAATGACATAGATAAAGATGGGGATAGAGATGAGGAAGATAATGAAGATGAAGAAGAGAGCAAATCGAAATTCGCTGCGGAAATGGCTTGGGAAGATGAGGAGTTTGAAGATGGTACATTACTTACCACAATCTTTTACAGTAATTTCTTTCTTCTATCAATCATTGTTTACCATATTCAGAGGAAAAGCGAGCGACCAAACGAGAAGCCACCAAGACTATCTTAGGAGAGGATTTGAAACCTAGTGGGTAACTCTAGATTGCTTTCAGCTCGATCCAGGATCTTGGGAATTGCAAATGATTGTTGTTTGTAGAGGCTAAAAAACGACGGCTAACACCAGAACAACTAGCTCTCGGTGAACAATTAATATATTCGAGTAAATCGGCGAGGGAAATTGAGGAATGGGGTTGGAACAGGTATCCTTAATCATATCCTCATCCTTTAAGATATTGATAATTTTTCATGTACAAGGTACACCAATAATGATGAAGGTCTTCCGGATTGGTTTGTTGAAGATGAAAGAAAACATTACCGCAAGCAATTGCCAGTAACTAAGGTGGTTACATTTGAAAATTTTTACATTTGGAAATTTTGTGCTGTTGCTTCTCTGTTTCAATCAATTTTCATTCAGTATTTTAGTAACCTGTTGTTTTGAAAACCTTCATAATTTCCCAGTTGTTAGGCTCAAGTCGAGGAGTATAAGAAACGTCTTCGCGAACTCAATGCTCGTCCTTGCAAGAAGGTTGCCGAAGCAAAAGCTAGAAAGCAGAGAAGGTATTAGTCGTTTTTTTTAAAGCTGAAACTAGACAGTTCCAAGTGATGTTAAAGAAGCAGCAGTGCAGATATTTTACTGTTTAAAAATTTTGCGTTTTTCATTGAAACCGCTTTTAATCTTGGTTTATTTTTGATATCTCTCAAACTTCTTCAAAAGTGATTAGTAAAGCTGTGGTAAAGCAGAATTTACACTTCAGTGACATCTCACATCCTAAAGGAAATTCGTCAACGCATTTCAGCTCACGTTTCAGTTGGAACTTATCTCTAGCTTGATTTTAAAATTTTTCATTAACGTATTTCATCTGAATGAGTGCAGATAGGCAGATGATCCGTTCTACGGAAAGCAACGAAACTTGACTTTATTCTCTGTTTCAAATGCACAAATAACTTTTTCTAAATAAGATGAGCATTCTCATTGATTGTTTGAGTTTATACCTTGCATATATTATTTTGGTTTGTAACAATTAGATGTTATGCCCATCGTGCATATCGTGCTTCATCTATTTATTGGTTCTTTTGCAGAGCTTTACGGCGACTGCAGACTGCCAAGAAGAAGGCTGAAGGTGTGTTGGAGAATGAAAACCTTGAGCACGCTGAGAAGGTTCGAGAAATGAAAAAGTATGTTATTACTTTTCATATGACGCTTCCTTCTACATTGTACCAATTTTTAGAATTTATGCTTCTGCTCATAAAAAAGAGAAGAAGAAAACTGAGCTTGTAGTGATGACTAAGGGCAAAAAAGGAAAGATGTCAAGACCGAATGGACGGTATAAGCTTGTGGATCGGTAATTGCTATTTTTCTACACCTTTTCACTTCCTTTATGTCTTCCTCATTGTTCTTACTACCAAACAATTTTAGTCGAATGAAAAAGGATCTGCGTGCTATGAAGAATAAGGAAAAGACGAAAGGACGAGGAAAAAAGACTCATACTGGAAGAGGACGTCGTTAAAGAAGAAATGTTAGCTAATTGAGGTCATGGTCTTTGCTTTTTGTTAGGTAGACGTTCTACCGGGGTTCTGTTTTGTCCGATTTACTCTTGGTTGCTGGTGCCCTGCCACTCATCTCCATCACGATTGAGTTGTTTTGAGTCGTTAATCTCGTTGTTGATTTGTTGATGTTGTTTTTGATCGTAAGAGATGTTATGCAGTTTTTGTTATCTTTGAAATATATTATCAAATGACAGATTTATCTCTTCTCCTCATTTTCTCATACCCGAAAAAAGTTGAAACCGTCGCGTTGTTGAACTTCAAACGTTACACTACTGCTTTGTTTGTTCCACTTCGTTAGAATTGTCACGGAACAAGTTCAGCCGTTAGCAATATTGAATGATTATATTGTTATTGAAATACATATATTATGTATGTGTTAAAAGTGGGGGAGAGCAGGAGAGA